TCACTCTGTAGCCCAGGTTGGCCTCGAACTCACAGAGATCCACCTGTCTCTGCCTCCCGAGTGCTGAAATTAAAGGCATGCACCACCACCACACACCCAGAAGAAGATAACTTTATTTGCAGTGTCATCTCACTGGACACCCCCCCCCAAAAAAAAAAAAAAAAACCAAAGCTTTTTCAAGGAAAGTAGGATAGAGATCAGGAATGGAGGTAGATTACCAAGAAGATTTTCTGCCCATAATGATCATTTATCATGCATAGGTCCCATATGGGTTAATTCAAAGTTTTTGGAAAACTAACAAATCCAATATTTGTTAAGTAAATTATTTTTAAAAGAATTTCAGATGTCATTTATATAAGTGTTACATAGATGTATGTTACATAATACTTGGATAAGTCTTATGTTTAAACTACATAATGAATATTAATAACTTTGCATATGTGTCAGATTATGTATGTGGATATGGACACATGTATATATACACACAGAGATAAATGAGAAATCAAACAGGATTTGGCAGGAATTGCTTGAGAATTCAGGTCTATCTGTCATCATGAATGGAGCTTGAGCCAGTGAGCTCAGCTCATGCAAATCCTTTGGGAAGAGTCATTTTTCTGTTGTTGTGAGCTAGTAACGTATGGCAACTGAGACTCCCTTTTCTCTGTTTATGAAATCCACATATGGCTGAAACTCTGGGTGAACAGAAAATATGGTTTTCTAATTGAGGAAAGTTATAACTGCTCATAGTCACCAGCAAATATACTTCCATTATAGACAGCCATTGGTTTCTCTTTCCAGGCATCATGTTCTTATTCCATGCAATGAGCATTCAGGAGGTAGGGAAGAAAGGGTCCGGAGCTGAAGGGCATCCCTGACTGCATAGTTTGAGTCCACTCTGCCTGTTTTTAATCAAAAATAGGCCTTTAAATCACTTAGAAAACCCTCCTCATGAAAATTATGCATTCTAGAAATTTTAGAAAGAGCATAAAGAGCATAAAGCTTGCCTAAAATATAGGTTGGGCCCATGCTCTCTCTGGTCATTTTTCACTCTCACATAATTCACAAAAGTCCCTTTGTCTGTTGCATCCCACGTCCTTGAGAGTGCCGGTATCACTCTGTAATATATTCTGCCTGGCCCTGATGCTACAATTTATGTGTCTCATCTGAAATCATTAAATGGAGATCACAAAATCAGGGGGCTAAGATTCTAGAATACATTCATAAAATGTGTACCTTGGGTGCATGTCATAGTTCATCAAGGAAAAGTGTTTTGTTCTGTAAGCCTGACAACCTCAAATTGATCCTTCCAATTCAATAGGGAAGGAGAAGATTGCCCTCCAGATGGACACCCCAGCATGTGTGTATTCACCCCTCACAGCCCTGAAGCAGAGAAAATGCTTTTATGTAAGACAGAAAAGACAGAAGAGATGACCCACACTTGGCCTTTGATCTTACATCAAAACAATATATTGACAAATATTTATTTCAAATAATCTATATATGCCCTTAAAAGCTACTCTCCTGTTTTCATTGGCATTTAACTTAAGCAAACAGTAATTTCATATCCTCATGTAAAGGGGCCTGGATATTTTGAGAACTTATATTTGCAGTATGCATCAGTTTGCCTTGCAAATTTGAAAGATAAATTATTTCAGCGCTTGTGCTGTAAGTCCAGGTTCAAGTAGTAAGGAAACTACAAATCACTCAGGTATTGACCATGTCACAGAGACATTCTCAGCCAAGATGGACACAGGGTTCCTATCAAACCAACTAAAGTGCTTAGGATTAAGGTGAGGCTCTAGGGAACATTAGTAAAATGCTTTCTGATAAAGAAACCCCCAGAAAGGGAGTCCAGTCCATGGATAAAACAGGATCAAGGTAATGCTTAGGCATGCATGGGCACAATACATAAGAAGGCTTCATGCCAGTAGACACTTTGCTGAGAAGTGGGCCATGAATTGGACGCTTCTTGTACAGTAGGATGGTGAAAGCCTATGAGATTGTTGTGAGGGGCTATGCAGTTCTTCAGAAGGAACTCCTATAGTCTTAACAAGTGACTAGAAGGAGGCCTGAAAATTTAGTTCAATTGGTACAGTGTTTGCCCACTTGTAAACAGCCCTCAAATCATTTTTCAACACTGACTAAAGCTGGGTGTAGTAGCACATGCCTAGTATCATGGAAGTTAGGAGGAAGGAGTGGATGGATTGGAAGTTTAAGGTCATCTTTGACTACATAGGGAGATCAGACGATATGAAACCATGCTGAAAAACAAAAAAAGATCCATAGGGTCAACCCAGTTTTTTTTCAGAGGACATGAAACTTCTTTGTAAATGTCTTGGTTTCTGTTTTTGAAGTAGAAGGCACTTGGCCAGCATAAACTGCTCGAGTCTTCACAAAATCCTGGATTGCTCTCTGTATACAGTCTGACCTGCATAGTGATGGCAGCAAGGTGAAGCATCTATTTTAACCCTCTCCATCCTTGTTTGTGATGGTAAGCTAGCTTTCAAACTACAGTGTCAACTCCTGACAGAAATTCTGCCTTCCCACTTCCTTTGCACAGCAACTTACCTCAGTTTCAAAGTCTCCCCTGCACAGTGTAGATCCTGACTATTCACTGATGTGTATGTGAATGTTTTCACTATAACCTTGTGGTGGTTTGAAGGAGAATGGCCTTCACAGGCTCATATATTTGAATGTTTGTTTCTTAGTTGGTTGACTTAGAATGTTGACTGTTTAGGTCAGATTAGGAGGTATGGCCTTGTTGGAGAAAGTGTGGCCTTGTTGGAGGAGGTTTGTCACCAGGAGTGGGCACAGAGGTTTCAAAAGCCCAAGCAAGACCCAGTCTCACACTCTTTGTCTCCTGCTTGTGGATCAGGTGTAAGCTCTCAGGTACTGCTCCAGCACCATGCCTGCCTGTCACCATGCTCCCCTCCAAGACTGTCATGGGTTCACCCCCTGAAACTGTAAACAAGCCCTGGATTAAGTGTTTTCTTTTATAAGTTGCCTTGGTCATGGTGTCTCATCACAGCAATAGAGCAGTAATGAAGACAGACCTTGAATACTATCTGCTGTGGAATGTCATTCTGTATGCTGTGAACTTGTGTTGATAAAGAAAATGCTGATTGGCCAGTAGCCAGGCAGGATAAGCAGACAAGAAGAATTCTGGGAAAAGGAAGGCTGAGTCAGGAGTCACCAGCAAGACACAGAGGAAGCAAGATGTGAAGGCAGAACTGAGAAAAGGTACCAAGCCACATGGCTAAACATAGATAAGAATTATGGGTTAAGCTGGGCGGCAGTGGCGCACGCCTTTAATCCCAGCACTTGGGAGGCAAAGCCAGGCAGATCTCTGTGAGTTCATGGCCAGCCTGGTCTACAGAGAAAGTTCCAGAAAGGCACCGAAACTAGACAGAGAAAACCTGTCTCGAAAAACAACAACAACAACAAAAAAAAAAAAAAAAAACCAAAAACAAACAAAAAAAATTATGGGTTAAATTAAGTGTAAGAGCTAGTCAATAAAAAGCCTGAGATAATGACTAATGGCCAAGCAGTTATAGTTAATATAAGCTTCTGAGTGATTATATTATAAAAGGCTGAGAGATTTGTCCCAGCCGTGGGCCAGGCAGGACACAGGAAAACTTCCAGCTACAACTATCCTAATATTTTCTGCATGTATACCTGCCCACATCTTGAATACACTGATTTTGATGATTCTTGAGGTAGAATAACTTCACCATGTTAACACAACACAAGCAGGACACAGTGCTATTAGAAGGCAAGCTGTAGACCTCCAAGGTAGGCAAGTTTGTGAGCTGTTACTGGCGTATGTTTTGCTATACAAACATGGGCAGTGGGCTGCAGATGATCTTAACTGTATGGCAGAGGGTGGTCAGTCAGAGCTCTGTGGCTGGTTGCCTAAAGATAATTCTAGCCCCACCTTCATCTTTTTTTGTTCAAGCCCAGTGTTGTCTAGAGACCATCAGCCTGTACCAGATTTGTAGCTGAAGGTTTTCCTGTGTCCCACCTGGTGGCCAGTCAGACCCAAGCAAACACACAGAGACTTATATTACTTATAAACTGTATGGCTGTGGCAGGCTTCTTGCTATCTAGTTCTTATATCTTAAATTAACCCATTTCTATAAATCTATATCTTGCCACGTGGCTCATGGCTTGCCGGTATCCTTACATCTTGCTTCTCATGGCAGCGGTGGCGGCGGCTGGCAGCATCTCCTGACTCACCTTTCCATTTCCCAGAATTCTCCTCTCTGCTTATCCTGCCTATACTATACTTCCTGACTGGCTACCAGCCAATCAGCATTTTATTTATCAATCAATCATTGCAACACATTCACAGCATACAGAAAGACACCCCCAGCACAGATTTTACCCTCCCCCACTTCAAGGCCTTCACATTTTTAGGTGCTGGGGGTAAAGAATGGAAGTCAATGCAGCTACACAGGAAGCACTCTCTCCCCCACTCCCTCAAAAGGAATATTAGTGTCTTCCCAGTATTCAGAGTAAATTTGATGCAAATTTGAAGGCACAGAACAGAATTCCCATATCCAAAGTTTCCTTCATTGGCCTGAGCCATTTTTCTGTATTTTGAAATCACTGGTCTTCACAATGAAGCCCTTTTCTCATTATCTACTATGATTTTAAGTTTGGGAATTTGTTCATATTTCAGGGTATGCATTAGATTCTCACAGTCCTTACATAGACCTTAAAACCTTGATACCATTACTAGTTGAAAATTTCACTACTGGCAATTAAGTAAATTGAGACTCAAGGATCAACATATAGAGCTTGGAAGATACAAAGTCAGGTACAGGAACATTCCTCTGTGAGGTGTTTTTTATAGCAGGAACAGGAAAGTTTCTAACTCTTACATTTATTTTCCCAGAGAAAAAAGTCAATATCCACTACAATATATAAAAGCATATGTAAGCTAGTGAGCTAGGAAATAAACTATGATAACTTGAAAGACCAATCACATGACAGTGGAGTTATGTACATCCTAGTTTAATTCAAGGAGAGATGAGTGATTTCAATGAAAGAAATCACTATGTTGCCTTTTATTCTCAATCAGTGTTCCAGCTTCACATATTCTGAGGACTCGTTCATCAATTCATGAATATAATAGTGTTCATTTCTGATTTGGCCTGCTTTCAAAAAACATGAAGTCCTAGACAAGAAGAAAAGTAATAAGTCAGTTTTCAGCAATAAAAGTGAAATTTCAAATTAAGAAATTTCAAATTAAGAAAATTGAGGGCACTCAGGAGTGGGAGGCAGTCGAGTTTTGAGTTTGAAGCCACGATGGTCTACATGGTGAGACCTTTTCTCAAAGCTAAAACAAATAAGACACCAAAGAATAACCAAAGTATAAACCAAGCCAAAGGGAAAAAAAAGAATAACAAAGGAAAATGGTATATATATATATACTACAAATGAGATACTATACATTCATAAGAATGAAACTTTTTCATAAATAAAAAAAATGGATTAACCTGGAAGATAGTATGTTACATGAAATAAGCCAGAGAAGAAAATAAAACATAGCACACTCTCACATGCAGAGTATAAAAATGTTCAACTCATCATTCTAAACAAAGAGAGTAGAATTGTGTACAAATTGTAAACAGAGTAAATATAGAATGTATCCTAAGGATGGATGTTAGGTTGGGGGGAATAAGAGTTGTATCAAAGCTTCTAAATGTTCATTAATGGAGAATAAATCCTAGTGATACACACACAGCACTGTGACTGGAGGTATATCACTTCATTGCATATTCCAAAACTGCTAAAGAGTAGATTTTAAATGTTCATATTGCAAAATAAAGATAATCCTTGAGGTAATGGACATGTCAATTAGTTTGCTTTGATCACCTCACAACATATACTTCTATCAAGATACCATGTGAAACCCCATAAATACATACACATAATATTTGTCTGTTGAAGTAAGTAGAACTGTTGCAAGATTGAAGCTTTAATTAAGGAATTAATTATCACATATCTCAAATTTGCAAAGAATAACATGCTAAATTCTAGTGATTCCTAATCTGGTTTTATAATTACTAACATCTATGTTTGGCTAAACTATTATTTCATTTCCTAGATCTCTGTGACTTTACTCTCATTATTGAAGAGCAAATATTAAAATAATCTCACCTGGGTGTGGAAGCTCATACCTGAAATTTTAGCACTTTGGAGATTCAGGATAGAGGATTGCCATGATACAGAAGGATACTGGGTCTCAAGAAAAAAAATTAACTAAAAGGAAATATGAAATACCTCATGTCTTAGGGTTTCTACTGCTGTGATAAAACATCATGATCTAAAACAACTTGGAGGGGAATAGGTGTTATTTCAGCTTAGCATTTCATATCATATTCCATCAATGAGGAAAGTCAGAGCAGGAACTCAAATATACCAGGGACACATTAGCAGGAGCTAATGCATGAAAGAATACTGCTTACTGTCTTTCTTATTATGGCTTAGTCTGCCCTTTTATAGAACCCATACCACCATCTCAGGGGTGGCACTGTCCCCAGTGTTCTAGGCCCTCCCACATCAATCATCAATCAAGAAAAATGGGCTACAGACTTGACCAGAGGCAAATCTGAAGGAAGTATTTTCTCAGTTGAGTTTCCCTCTTCCAAGATGACTCTAGCCTGTGTCAGGTTGACATAAAATTAACCAGCATCCCATGATATGTTCCTTCAGAGATATATGGAATTCATTAAGCTTATTCATAGCAACAATACCATTGTTGCATAAAAAACAATAGTTTATTTTAGCATTATATGGCAAGTGTTAACATTTCCCTGAATGTCACTTGAGGGTTTGACTAATTTGATAAAAATGATCTGTCCCTGTAACCTTCAACTTTGATGATATGGGAGAATTTTCTGAATACTCAACAAACCTCTGGTTCTGAGCTTGGAACTTAGTATGGGAACTGAAAAAAATCTCAGGGCCACTGCTTTACCCTACATATTTCCTGTAACATGCTAGTTAGATCTAGAGATTTGACTGAATGTATAATGTTGGATGATTACACTTCATTTTATTAGATGAGTTAATCAAATGATATGTTTAGATAAAAATCTTTGTATCCACAACTTTTATTATATATAAGTATTAGTTCTTTGAAGTCTCAATTTAACTTTTTATTTTGAGTCAGAACCTCTCAACATACAACCTTTGTATCTTTGACTTTAATGACAGCATAGAATCTTTGGACAGAAAATGTGTCCCCTGTGAATCCAAACTGTAAGAAAGACCTGAGATCATCTCAGAGCTAGGGCTATACATCATTTCTTCTATAAAACCTGGGAATTAAGAATGTATTCCTCCTTTGTTTAGTTTTCTCTTTCCTATTTTTTTAGAATCTCATACATATATACAATAAAATATGATCATACCCACTTCCTATCTCCCTAACTAAGAAAGCAATCTTTAAGTAAGTAGTTTTCCATGTTATCTCCACATGGTTCTGGGGACTCCACCTGAAGTAATAATCACAAGGAACAGACTTACTATGAGGAAGCAAGCTCCAAGCATCACAGCCTTTATCTTTACATCAAGGTCTATCGGGAACTGGATCCCAAAATTGTCCACATCTGTCAGTAACTCCTTCAGAAAACCAGACCAGCGCTTGGAAATCCTACCAACCACAATTTTTTCATCAAGAGACTTGATCTGAATTGGAAACAAAAGTCAATGAACAAAAGGAGAGACTTAAAAAGTTCTAGAAAACTAATAATAAAACTACTTTCAGGGTTTAAATAAGAGAAAACAAACACTCCATTCAAATTATGCTCTCATGTAACTGAACATTGGAAGAGTTGCTACATAAAATAGGAATTTTGAGCATTATATATGAAAAGTTCACAATGTTTCCCCAGTGTTTTCACTTGTTTCCTGAAAGTAAATTGAATGTCAGCTTAAGTTTCATTAATCTTTCTGGAAATAGAAATAACTTTACACATATCTAGATACTTTCCCATATAGAACTACTTTTACACATACCAGTATATAAAGTCTATATAGGATTATTAAATGCCCTCACACATGCTCAGAACTTTATACACACATGCTTTGTAAGATCTCTTGTAGTGTTTCTGTATTACCTGTGTTTTCTAAAAACTGCCCATGTCTGTGATTAGATTTTAGGGTCATTGAAGGCAAGGCTTCATGTACAGATAACTGGATTCTAGGAGAGGAATGAAAACCTGCATGGTTACCAAGAGCAGTAAGCAATGGGACAGAGTGAACATGGAGACAGCCATTCATGGGCATGGAGAGAGGGTTCTAAAGGCTTATTAGAAAGTGGCAGCCCACTGGGCGGTGGTGGCGCACGCCTTTAATCCCAGCACTCAGGAGGCAGAGCCAGGTGGATCTCTGTGAGTTTGGAGGCCAGCCTGGTCTACAGAGTGAGAAAAAGAAAAGGAAAGAAAAGAAAAGGAAAGAAAAGAAAAAAGTAGTAGCCCTCATTAGCTTTAGAGTATTTTGGCCCCTTCTGTGGAAATGTAGGCCTAATTTTTCTTTTCAGATTTTCTGACTTTTGAAGAGAATCAGAGTCAAAATGACAAAAATTCCCTCAGCTTTAAAAATTCCTCCAGGGAGTAAACGTAGAAACACGTTTTTCAATGTACTAATTTAACAGGGAGATCCCAGTGAAGCATGATTGGACAGTAGGCACCATACCTGCACTACCTTTTTTCTTCTACCTCTTTTTCTTTTATGTATGTGGGTGTTTTGCTTGCATGTAAGTCTATGCAGCACATGCATGCAGTACCTGAGGATTGTTGTATCCTTAAACTATGAGTCCAGACAAACTCTTCTTCCTTCAGATTGTTTCTTAAAATTGTCAGGTATTAGTCATAGCAATGAGAAAAGTAGCCAATACAGAAATTATGCATATTTTTAAGATGGCTGTACCTTTTTCTTTTTTAACAGCATCAGCACGGATCTTTCATTGGACCAGAAAATATTTCTCTGATCATGATATTTCTCTTTTGAAATATTTGTACAAAGAGCTCCCTTTAATACAACTGTAGCTCATTGCAAAATATGTTCTATTTATAAGGAAAGGAAATCCAATAACTATGATCATATTTGTTACCTTAAAATCAATGTTTCCTCCAAGGCTGCATATGATACATGGACCGACAATTTTGAGAACATCCTGCTTCTTCTCATTTTGAACTGTAAACTTTGGAACACATGGGTGCCAGTTCTGAACAACGTAACCTATTGTCACACCAGGAGGAGCTTGGACTTCCATCTACAAATGAAAAAGAAAATTAGTAAATATGTTTATCATCATATTGTCTATTTGTGGCTTCATTTACTAAGAATGACACACAGTACTCCTATCTACAACACCCCTTAATTAGATCAATGTTATTCCTTTTCTTAATTCATGGAGGAGGCAACTGCACTAAAGAAAGATGAATTAACTTGCATCAGATTCCTCAGCTAATACAGAAAAGGGATGAATTGAAGGCTTGACAGGTGGCATGCTTCATTCATATCTCCATTTATTAAAACTGTCAAAATTATTATCAAATTCTTTTTCTTAAACTTGTTTATTAACAGTAGCTTATCTATATGGACAGAACTCTGACCACTGGTGAATTTTCAACTATGAATCCTGATATTGTATAAGGAAAGTAGGCTGAGCACTAGACTCATGGCCCTGCTATTTCTTTACTAGGAGACCATCATGATGCATTACTGTGCTTCTCTGTAAATGATCATTTCTGATGATCAAACCTCATGACCATGTTATACTGGTTCTCAATTATAGCACTGTCCTCATCAAACACACTTTTCCCAGATACTGCTTTGCATGTGAAATTATACCTAGTCTAAATGGTACGGAAAACAAAGTAATTCTTTATAAATAAAACTTTTTTCTCGAAATACAGTATGTATAGTATTGAACTTCAAATAACTTTTTTTGCTTGTTGTCTCTGTTTGAGCACAAGTTAGAGATATTATTTACAGAATCACTAGGGGATGCAGGCAGACATGGTTCTGGGCTAATGAAATCCAGGCAAAGGCTCCTTTCCCTATGAAGTCTCTATGCCATGATATCTGCTCTGAAAGGCACATTTGCAATGATCAGACACATCAGGCAATATGAAACAGACAACTGAACTTTAGCTGAGGACATCTCCATCTGGGGAATGTTTACTACAGAGAACACTACTTGCTGTGTATATTAAAAGAGAAGAAATGAAAAAGACAGGAGATAATTTTTTTCTGTTTGTCCTTCAGTGGAGTGTTCAAATCATCAGATAATCACAAGATGAATACATCTACCCTAACTCTTCTGTGAAAACACTCTATTTCTAGAAAAATATTCCAGGACATCCTTAGACATGCAGCTCCATTAGTTTGGTCCATGCCTGTCATGATCATTTCTGACAAGAGATTTGGCCAAAATGTCTTCCCTTGAACATCACAAACTATTGCTTGAGCTGTAACTCAGCCACTAAGGGAAGATTAGCCAAGGGCACAGGCTTAGACATTTATCTTCCTTCCTATAGTTGAAGGAAGGCCAAAATAATGATCATGGATCATTTTTTAAAATACCAATAACATGACAAAAAAATTCTTGCAAACTGTGTTGGTAAATATTCACAGACCTTCTGGAGGCAGCAGGGACAGAAACAAGAACTACATCTTAGTGGTCGCTTCAAAAGTATAACTTCATGACCTGAGTTATCAAGAATCCTCATAGAGAAAGACCTGCAGTCCCCACAGCAATTGCGTGCACAGCAATTGGACTCTTCGACTGCGTAGTAAACTTTCTGACCAAGCTTGTCCTTGATTTTGTATTTGTTAACAGTTTCAAAACCTAAAATGGCTAAAAGAAAAAAAAAACAGGGAATCATAACCAACAGTACATTAAAATCCTCAACGTATCTTCAGATCATGTAATGTCTAGATAGTCTGGGTCTAGATGATATTCTAGATAACACAAGGAGAGAAAAAAGGGAGGTATATATAGATAATCCAGTCTGAGAGAAGGAAAGACAAAAGAGAAGGAAGAGAGGCTAGTACATAAGAAGAAACTGAGTACCACTGGAGGACATGGAAAACAAAACAGTCATTTTTGATACCTCTGTGGTCTAATTCATGGAGACTGCTGCACAGGACAGGCACAGTGGTGACAGATAGATGGATGAATGTACACTTCTCTAGCATAGTTTCTATGTATTATGGAGAAGCTAAAGAGTGGCTGATGTTTTTTAAATTATGTGAAATAATATGGTAAATCAGTTGGGTTTTCTAAATCACATTTTTTGCATTGTGATTAAGCGATGGGGAGACTTACTCTCCATGCACACATGAAAAATGAGAGAGACTGAAAATGGAAGGTGAATAATAGCATTGCACTGAGCCCAGGGTCCCGTTGAGGACCCTGTAGGTAGGTTCTGGACAAGGGGTAAGTGTAAGAAATGTGCATGGCAACTCAGCTCAGATTTTAGCTGTCACATCACAGTGCTGTGTCATGATACCACAATGCCAAAGGCATCCCAAATGAACTATGCCTTACTGGTGTTCTCTTTAATGCTAAAAGCAAAGAGGTGTCAAATGCAGATTCTCAAATATCATGGGATGATGCTATGCTAGCTATGGGAATATTCTCTCATTTAGAGACAGAAAGAGTAATTAATAGTCAAATTTGCCCATAGAAAAAAATGTCCTTCAGGAATCCTAGCACTAAATGGACTCATTTTTGAGTCTTTGATGAGACTTGAAGAGGCCTTAGATTCAGTCTCTTAAAAAATGGCATGATACCAACACTTGCCACAAATATTTTTGCAAAGATTTTGAAAACTACTTCGAAACTTAAATTTTTTTACTGAGAGAGCATCTATTATTCAAATAGCAGTTCAATTATGCAACTTGGCCTATACTTGTTTTTCTATAAAGTAAGACCAACAGGCTTACCCTGCTTCTAGTTACTCCCAGTTGCTTGAAAAATTAAAACCAACAAAATGAATCTATAGCAGGGCTACAGGTGTAGTTCAGTGGTAGCATAATTGCTTAGTGTGCACAAGTCCCTAGGTTTGAGTCCTAGTAGTGCCAAAGGAAAAAAAACTATAGTTATATCTGCAGCATATATTTACTTTTCAATAAGATGAAAGTACAAATGCTGGTTATAAACAAAGATGCTGAAAATGAGTCCAGAAATCATCTTTTTATATTATTTATAGTATTAAAAATAATTCCATGTGAGAAAATAAGCAAAATTCATAGACGTGTTTTTTTTAATCAAGGACTGAAGAACTAGTGAATGTAGATTAATATTACACAGTGAGTGTATTTGCTGAATAAATAATTTGAATCTTACATATCTAAAATTTAGAAATTAAAGGCTATATAAAATGCAAAATCTGATTTTGGGGCTTAAAATTCTCAGTAATACATACTGTGGAATTGAATATTTGTAAACATTTAATATACAAGATATTATAAAGAGGTAGTGTTTATTTCCTGAGAGAAACTTTTTTAGAAAAACTTAAGCCCAAAATATTTTAATATTTAATAATGTACATTAAAGGCAATTTAAATAAAATAAGACAACCTATGTATTTTAATAAAGTCCAGAAGTGTGCCTCACAATGCATGTTCTCATTTTTTTCCAATGAAAAGGGACTTTGTAGACGGGTGACAATGAATTTAAAAGATGTACTCTAGATTTCAGTTAAGTTTTTTTATCATGCTCTGGTAGATAGAAGGAGACACAGTAGTTCTTACATCTTCCTATGGTCTCCTTCCCCTTGGCAGCCATCATGATTTTCTAGTAGCCTCCTCAGTTCTTTTTTGCAACTGGAGACACTGGACCTATGAAGACATCTGTAGGCACCTGGCCCATGCTCTGCACAGTATTGTCAACACAACAGGGCTCTGTGCTGAGCTAGGAAGTGCTAAGGAGCTCTATAAAACCTGGATTCCATGCTCCAGCAGGGCACTAATAGCAATTTTACAGAGCACCTCCATCCTAATTCCAAAAGAGCATTCACTGGGTGATGTGAACCATTGACGAGGTTCTGTGCAAGCCTCACACTGGTCACAATTTGGCAGACAGCAGCTAAGAAATCAAGTAGGGTGGTAAAATGGTAAAAGTGGGGTGATTTATAGATATGGGAGAAGGGTAACTTTGGGTGTTCTTTGTCAAATTAGTATCTGTATCACGAGGACAGCTGACCATCATAATATTTTCCAAGAGATCCCTAATCTATGTAAATGAAAATTTCTAGATACAATGATTTGTTTGAAGACTAGGACGAAAGACATTGTAAGGAATAAAGTTTGCTATCCTGTGTCATTCAGAATGCGGAATTTGTGGTGCTCAGTATGCCTTTACTTTCATTATCTTTCTAGAAATATGATGAATAAAACAAAATACACACCTTCCACAACCTCAAACTGCTGATGAATCATAATGTGATCTACCTGTTATGGTGAAAAGAAAATTAAGAATTTCAGATGTTTTAGTCAACCAAACTTGGGTTCATGTTTTTATTACTTATAATCAGCTGCCAACTTTTATCAGTATCAAATTATCATAATTGTTTATGTTTAATAAAACCATATTTAACAACTCTTTCATTAAAATATATCTATTGAATTAATTTACTATTAACATGCGGAATTCAAAACAGCGAGTCCCAGACCAGACTATGGCATCGAGTAGCACCCTTTGTCAAAAAACATGTTTACTGTCTCTAACTTTTATGAACCACAGTAATTGCCTATTCATAAGTAAAACTGGAAGTATGGTCTTGTTTATGAACATTTTATTCATTTGAACTTACCTGAATTAAATATTCCAATCCAGGTGGTAACTCAGAGGAGGTGTAGGAATCCATGGGGGTCACAGCAGGTCCACCTGGCTGGTGAGATTCTGGCTGACTTTGGATAATAAAGCTGGACCTTCATCTGCATAGATGGGTGGTGGGACTGGGCAGCCAGCCTGAGGTCCTGAGTCACCAGGATGTCCAGAAGTTCCCGAAACAGGAGCGAGCCAAATAGGTTGTTACTGCACAGAAAAATGGAATAACCAGTTTTTTTGGAATTACCCTAACTACGTATAAGTTGGTATTTCCGACTCTAGTATCTATGAACTTTAAAGTGTGATTGGTATTTTTTTAAAGCTATTTCAACAAAATATATGGGATTTCATATCTTCTGCTATTTTTGAGGATGCTGGCTGTGAATAGAGTCGGCAGACAGCTTTTCCTTCAGCTCCGTAGCTATTTCCCCCAAATTGAAACATTCCCATCTGGAGGAAAAAGGAGAAATCATAAGCTTCAGGAAGTAAACAAATCTCACTGATCAGAGAAAGCTGAAGTGTACAACAGTCAAAGGCCCCTCCCCTAGAGTATAGGCTCAGTTATCAAAGCTTCTGTGGAGAGGAGACCTTCTTGCCATTTGATCCGTCTGCAAGTTATGCTGAGAACTGTAGGGATACACCATTTGTGAGTTATCAATCAACCATGCTGCCATTGCCTAAGAGACATCCATGCTCCTATATGTAACCTTTCACCCACACTCCTGTGGAGATCCTCAAATTGGACTTTGGTATATTAATGGAACCCTATCTTGAGTGAGAAGACATCTGTTCATGCCTCCCTGGAAAAAGTTAACACAACACTCTTACCACTCAACCTTGAATGTAAAATATGTGAGATGAAATCACGAATGACTGGAGTTATTTATATGAGGATTTTGGCATAAGTTCATGGAAAAGGGTGCTAATGAGAAAACCAAAGCAAAAGATGTAAGGTACTATTTCTAGGACCAAAGCATCCTGCGAAAAAAAATAGCGTGGAAATCTAACAATGACTTTTCTTATATGTATAGAACAGGGGAAGGTTTTCCACTGTGGAAATATTTGTCAAGGTCTGGAGTCATTTGTCTATTTTCTACAACTTATGAGAAGGGTGGCACTGAATTGTGGTGAGTAGAAGCCAGGAATGCCACCACTGTCCCAAATGCCCAGAGTGCCTCACTTTAAATAAAGAATTCTCTATTCCAAATATTAAAGTTCAATATGCAGTAATATATATGACTGCAATTAAGTTTCACAGGCTTATTTTAATAGTTCATAGAAGAGCAGTTTTTAGGCTCCATAATGTAATGGCACTGATGGCTGCAGGGAGCCTAATACTCAGAATAGGCAGTGCATTTAAGTCAACACAGATGAGGAAATCCATGTGGCATTCAAAGTAGGGCTTAGCTAAAAGAAAATATATAAGCGCTTCATAAACATAGCTTTTATAGTCAATTCCTTCTAAATAAATGAACATTTACAGATGATCAATGGTGTGGTTGTATTTGTTGCATAGTGAGGAGAAGCAATTATCAAGAAGATAATTTGCACTTAAGCAGCCTACAATTAACTTCCAGGAGAAAGAAAATGTTTCCAAAATGAAGTTTTCAGTCACCAGGAAGCTATTTTAGATAGCTGTAGCCTAGATGGAGGTGGAAATGCCAGGAAGGGAAAAGCTTTGTGAGATGCTAGATGGAGAAACAGTGGAGAAGGGAGGGAAAGAACAAGAGAAACCCCTGATTTGGGATGTGAACTTGGCAGGCTTCCCCAGCAAGATATCCAAAGAATAGACAGCTCTCCAGTAACACAACAGGACACAGTTTACCTCCAGAAGCCCTTTGTAAGGAGTTTTCACTTTTTTCTAAGCTTGCTTGGCAGGCAAGGAGGGACTCTGGAGAGAAGGGTGATTTCATGACACCATTTATACATCAGTGCTGAGCATTCAAATTCTCATTGTGCAAAAATAAATTGAAATGATAGCCTTGAAAAAAATAACAGATATACATGAGCTGGGACAAGTCAATAATTTGATACTATAGAGAGGAGAGGAAAAGAGAACAAAGCAACAGAGAGAAACACTGTTCTAAAGCACAGTTGAGAGAGTTCTGGAGAAGACCCCACATGAGCTCTAGAACTGTATGGTTACATTTTCCATCTAGTCTAGACTTGGGACTGGATCATCATCCGCCTGCCATTTATTGTAAGCTGTTGGCCAGCCCATGATGGTGACACCTCTTTTAAGGAACCTTTGGAGAGTAGATCTAATGGGCAGAAACTCAAGAAGGAGCACCATGAACCTAAACCCCAATTAGCAGTCAAGCCAAAAACTACAGCCTTCACAATCCACACATATAAAGGAAGCTGTTGACTCAGTTCTCAGCATTAGTATTGGGCTCCTGGAATGGATGGTCTACCAGGATAGCAAAAATGGAACTCCACTGTGATTGTGTCTGGAATTCAACTGCAGCAGCCAATTTGAGGTCTGACATGGCTGCACATCCAGATCTGTCAATGAAATACCTGCCTCAAGTTCTCATAATGTTTACCTGTCCTGTTCTCAGGGCCCATTCCCTTTTGCATAGAATTCCCCAGAAGAAAACTGAATGGATTCTAAACAGTGTTCACTTGTCCATGCTTGCTTGTTTGCTTCCTACTTTTTAAACTTTAAACCTTAAGCTACAGGTTAATGAGGAAGAGTAACTTCTGGCAAAACAACTATAGGATAAATTTTCAGTTCTCACCACACACACAAACACACACACACACACACACACACACACACACACACACACACACCACTTTCCTATATTTTACATAATTATAACAATTATACATATATATATTTAGAATAAAAATGCACGAGGCTGCACATGATTAAAGTATATGTTATACATGGAAGAAATGGTAATTATGAAATTATTGTCACTATGTACAATATCTCTATGTCAATGAATGAAAACTTTAATAAAAATGATACTAGGCAGTGGTACCAGGTCCTGGGCTCATTGCATGAGTTGGCTGTTTGAAACCTGGGACTTATGCAGGGACGCTTGGCTCAGTCTGGGAGAAGGGGACTGGACCTGCCTGGACTGAGTCTATCAGGTTGATCTCAGTCCTCGGGGGAGGCCTTGCTCTGGAGGAGGTGGGAATGGGGGGTGGGCTGGGGGGAAGGGGAGGGGGGCAGGAAGGGGGAGAACAAGGGAATCTGTGGCTGTTATGTAGAACTCAATAGTATTGTAAAATAAAATAAAATAATAAAAAAAATGATATAAGTTCTGGTGCTAATTGACCTTTAGGTTGCTTCTCAGAGGAAATGAGAATACATAAAATTTTCAAAAAAAAAAAAAAAAGTCAGTAAGCAGCTTTCTTCCTTGCTTTCTGCTTGAATTTACTCTCTGTCTTCCATCAATGATGGGCTGGCATCAGGACACTTAAGGCAAATAGACAGACTCTTTCTTCCCCAAGTTGCTTTTGATCGTGTTGTTTATCACGGCAACAGAAAGCCAACTAGAGTAGTGATAAAGCAGCTACCCAAGTAAAACGGGAAAAGCACTCATCCTTCCCTACAAGTGTGTAAAGTCCTTCAGCGATTCTTATCTACTTGATATGTGATAACCTAAGTACTATGGCATCCAATGAAAATGCTCCAACACTATGATATATAATAAGTGCATCATAAGTTACAAGCTAAGAGGTTAAGAGAGAAAAGAAAGCATATGCACACATACCCCTAACAAAACAAGGAAGAAGTAACTATAGCTTTATAGCATTCCATCATGTGGTCAATACTGATATATGATCAGCAGCTCTCATACTCTTTGAGGGATTCTCAATATTTCCTCTTAAACTTCCTAATCCAGGCCTCTACCATCTGTAGTGATCTAAGATTGTCTTCTAAGTTCCATCTTAGAACTCCCAAGGGCTTTTCCAGACTAAAGCTCTAAAATTCTCTATTTTTTCCCCATAAAACATACCAAAGCATAAAAGCCTAGTCAGGTTCATCACATCAATATGTTATTCTCTAGTAACATTGCCCGTCATAGTTTACTTTTTATGATGCTGTGATAAACAACATGACCAAGAAAAGCGTGTGGAAAAAAGGGGTTGTTTGTTCTACACATCCTGATCACAGACCATCATTGAGGGAAGTCTGGGCCATCACTGAAGTAAAACTCTGGTAGAGGCAGGAAACATGGAGGAGAACTGCTTCCTGACTTACTGTACCTGGCATTCTCTGCTACCTTTCTCATACAGTCCAGGCACACCTGCACAGATGTGGTACCAACCCACAGTGTTTGAATCCTCCCAGCTCTATCAGTAATCAACCAGTCCATCAATCAATAGTAAAAGCTGGACACACATACCCACAGGCCAGTCTAGGAGAGACAATTCTTTTCATTCAAGTCCTATTTTCAGGTGACGTTAGCTTGTATTATGGTGAGAAAAACAAACCTTGCTTTTTTTTTTTTTTAAGTACAGTTAAAAGTTGATGTACGACTCATGGTGGTCAACTTTATGTGTCAACTTAATAATGACCACAGCATACTCAAACCAAACTTCAGTCTGGATGTGTCTAGAAAATATTTCAACTGAGATGAGCATTTGAATCTGTGGACTGAGTAACTAGGTTTCCCCATCCTATGTAGGTAGGCTTTCTCTACTCTTTTGAGAGTGTGAATAGAAGAGAAGAGAAATCACTGTTGCTTTTCTTGGGTTAGAAAATGTGTTCTGATCATAATGTTCCTGGTTCTGGGGCCTGTAGACCCAAAATGGACTCTGTTTCACTGGTTCTTCTGATTCTTGGATTGAATTACACAGTGGAATGCTTTTGATTTCCACTTTGGAATTAACTTTGACTCTTAAACTTTGTGTAAAAACAATTTATAACTTTATATCCTTTTTAAAATTATATTTACTTATTTTTAGTGTAATGTGTGTGTGTGTATGCATGCATATATTGGTGCTTGGGTGTACACACATGTGTGCATGTGTGAATATGTGCACGTACCAAGGGGCATATGTGAATTTCAGAGGAGAGCTTTTGATAATCAGTCTCTCTCTTGAGCATATGTGCCCTAGGGACAAAACCATCTCACCAGCCCAGCCTCATATCTCCAGCTACATATTTCCCACTGCTCTTTTCTCTAGAGGACTCTGACTAATTTAATGGATCTACTCCAAGACATAGCATCACATAGTTGGAGAAA